CGAAATGATTGCATCTTTAATTTCGTTGTACTATGTACAATGACAATAAAGTATATTATTATTATTATTATTATTATTATTATTATTATTATTATTATTATTATTATTATTATTATTATTATTATTATTATTATTATTATTATTATTATTATATACAAAAACCTGAAGTACATTATGTATTTACAAATAGAAAAGTCCACAGCTACAAAGACCTATTCCAGTGATGGCGAACCTTTTAGAGACCGAGTGCCCAAACTGCGACCCAAAACCCACTTATTGATCGCAAAGTGCCAACACGGCCATTTAACCTGAATACTGAGGTTGTACTTTAGAAAAAACCACTCCTACATTAACTTAAGACGATCCAAACAAAGGAAGGAAAGCCATCCCAAAGGCTTTCATTTACTTAAAATTATTTGGCAGAGAATCCGACACTTTAATGATGGTCTGGGCCTGGCTGGGGCGATGGTACGCGTGCCCACAGAGAGGGCTCTGAGTGCCACCTCTGGCACCCGTGCCATAGGTTCGCCACCACTGACCTATTCCAACTCTCCTGATAAAGTTCTGATGGAAGAGTCATAAATGATGAGAAGATGCAGCAGGCTGTAATGTTCTCCACAAAGAGCAATTCAGCCGGCATCAAAACAGGCATGAGAGATGCAGCGGGCAGTTGTATTTTCCACACCAAGTGTTTCAGCAAGCATCCAAGCAAGCAACACGGCCTCCTGGGCAAAAACTGCCTGTTTCGACAGATTCTTCTTCAGGCAGACATGTTTTTTCCCCTGGAACCAAAGCTCTCAATTTTCCTGTGCGTCAGTCAACCATTCTAAAGAAGGCTCCTCTGGTCCTCCCGGCTTGGGGTTCACCCGGAAGGAGTCCCTCCTAAGAGGAAAGGCTTGAAGAACCTGGGGCTTTTCAGTTTAGAAAAGGAAAGAGACTGCTGGGGAGGGGGGGCGTGCGTGAGAAAGGTTGATGGAATGATGCCTGGGATGGAGAGAAGTGACAGAGACGACTTTCCGCACTCGGATCTCATCCCTGGTTTTATCAGAGTTCAACTGGCGAGACAGTACCTTGCATTCCTCCATGGTTATAACCGCATCTGTTTATCCTGGGACAAGTGTGGGGTGAAACTGGGGTGACCTCGTTGTAATGGGGGGGGGGATTTTTGTTGTTGTTCAGCCGCACAGTCGAGTCCGACTCTTCGCGACCCCATGGACAAGATCTCGCCAGGCCCTCCTGTTTTCCGCCGTCCTCTGAAGTTGGCTCAATACCGCAAGATAATTACGGGGTAAACTCGAGCGTAGTGTGGAATGTAAGTTCGGGGACAGGGTTGAACCACGATTTAAGGTCTAGTGCGGAATCGCCCAAGAGGACTTTTTCTCTCTCCCTTTCCCTAAATACTAGAACTCGTAGAACCATAGAGTTGGAAGGGACCTCCAGGGTCATCTAGTCCAACCCCCTACACAATGCAGGACATTCACAAATACCTCCCCCCCCCCACACACACACACAGTGACCCCTGTTCCATGCCCAAAACATGACGAAAAACCTCCAGGATCTCTCCAGAATCATAAAAAAACAAACACAATATTAAATTGGAAACATGAGGTGATAATTGTAAAGCAGATATGTACAAACAGTCAATATTTCAAACCAACTTTGTTGTTGTTGTTGTTCAGTCGCACAGTCGAGTCCGACTCTTCGCGACCCCATGGATCAGATCACGCCAGGCCTTCCGGTCTTCCTCCGTCCTCTGAAGTTTGCTCAATTTCATGTTCGTTGCATCTATGACACTGTCTGACCATCTCATCCTTTGCCGCCCCCGTCTTCTTTGACCTTCAGTCTTTCCCAGCATCAGGGTCTTCAGTGAGTGCTCCCTTCTCATTGGGTCGGCAGAGTATTTGAGCTTCAGTTTCATTATCAGGCCTTCCAGGGAACAGTCAGGGTGGATTACTTTTAGGATTGGCTGATTTTATCTTCTTGCATTCTAGTGTTTTTAACTGGGAAAAGCAGGGATTCCCGGAAAGACATGACTACTCGGTGCTCATATACATCAGGCAAGTCAAAAGTAAGTAAGATCATGATAAAATTTGTTTTTGGGGAGAACATAATTTTTAGTTGGATAAGAAATTGTTGGGAATCCATGGGCAATAAACTTCTCTTTGACTGCGTTCTGTCGGTGTCTTACAACTAAATGGAAATAATCCCATAGTCAAGAAAGATCACCAGGCTTGTATGGAAGGTAATGTACTACTTTTCCAATGTGCAGCTAACGCTAATCTTGCTGTTGCCAATAGTAAAGCGTTTCTTTCTGCATTCATTTCACGAAAGAGGACACCTGGCCCCCAACCCAAAAGCACTGTGTGGCCACTGGTCAGATGCAGCAGGGCTCTTCTGAGGTTCTGATAAGGGGAAGGCCTCGGCCTCTCTGCCCTGTGGTTGGCCCTCTGGAGGAACTGGCTGGCCCCTGTGTGAGACGGGAGGCTGGACTAGGTGGACTTTCACTGGTCTGACCCAGCAGGGCTCTTCTGGTGTCCTTCTCAGGTGAAGGCCTCGGCTTCCCTGCCCTGTTGCTGGCCCTCCAGAGGGACTGGCTGGCCACTGTGTGAGACGGGAGGCTGGACTAGAGGGACCCTCCCTGGTCTGACCCAGCAGGGCTCTTCTGGTGTCCTTCTCAGGGGAAGGCCTCGGCCTCTCTGCCCTGTTGCTAGCCCTCCAGAGGAACCGGTTGGCCCCTGTGTGAGTAAGACACAGGGAGGGGAAAACAAACCTGACCCAAAAAATGAAATCAAGATCCACAAAGGTAAGAAAGTCTGATAAAGAGCTAATATTAAAAACCTAGTTGAAACTTATAATGTACAAAAATGCACGTGTTTATTAGAAAGACGGTTAAAAACATATAAGGGCCCAGTGAAAGCCTCGCTAAAAAGTTCAAGTGGCCTGAACAGAGGGGCCAGTACACGTGACCTGACGTGTTTCCGCCCTATCGGGGCCTTCTTCAGAGGTCAAACAGTATAGAGGTACACGTAACAATAATACATAATAATGAGGCCGAGTGCCGCGTGACCAGTTTAGGTGCGAGACGGGGGTCCGTGTTAGAGAGCATTAATGGTGACAGTAAGATAATGAGATGCTCTGGCACATGTTTCAGGTTCTGTGCTTTTGACAAAGCCGCAAGCGACATGCGATTACGAAGTCGGCAAACACGTGAAGCAATTTGGGAACCGGTTCACACTCCTATCGTGTTTGGAGGCGTTGTCCTGCTGGATGTTTTTGATTCCTTTCACCACTAATCTTTTTCATTGACTGCACATCTCTTTGGGCATTGGTTGGCAAGAACATTTGGAGGTTTAACAAGTTGCTATATGAACTGGACTTACTTTTTGGGACATTGTTTTCAATAATAGTCGGAGTTGGTGGTGCATTTTGGTCATATATAATGGGACGCATTATACTGAGCATATTTGATTACAGTATTTACAGTTTCTTTGAGGTGTTGTCATTTTGTTACACAGTAGTTTTTGTTTTTGTTG